CTTTTGTAGATGGATTGTTGTGTTAGAGTTTTTTGCGGAGGAAGTGTTAGGAGATAAGATGGTATGTTTGAGGATATGGAAGAAGAATTGGAATGGTTCGATGAACCTCTTAGCTTCAACGACCTTTGTGTTCGTTTGAATGCAAAGTTTGGTGGTGATTTCACACTGAAGGGGAGGTTTGATACTGGGAAGACTAGGTCACACTATGTCCCCATGCCCTCATGTGACCCTACTCACTGGTCCCGCTACACTAGGGTGCTCCAAGGTTCCAATGTGCCCATGGCTGAGGTGGTGGTGGAGAATGGGTATAGGATGCAGGGTGTTCTGGACGGGCCATCCATTGATGGTGTTGGAGGCAATGAGCAAGAATTGGGGGTCAAAGGGAAGTAGCTCAGGGTAACATGGATTTGGACGGTCAGTTAATGTAGGAGCAATTTCATTCAAGTCAAGTAGGTTGTATAAGCAATTATTTCGATGTGAACGAGTTCGAAATGGAAGAGGAGGAGGACAGGATCGGTGATGTAGTTAGCAGTGATTCGGATGATTCAGATGGTGACTAGGGAGATGGACATGCTATGCCCACACCGGTTGATGCCATGCCAGTACTTGTTCATGGTATGCTATTACCAGTACCAACTGAGGTTTTGCATGCTATCCAGGCTCAAGGTAGACTAGTCACAGATTTGCCAGCAGATGATACCCCATATGATTCATGGAGCAGAATTAGCGAAGCGCAGCAGTATGTTCCACCACCACCTTACACAGCGACTGAGCTTGAGCAACTAAGGTCGATGAACATACCTTGCAGGGGCGTTTCGAACTATAGGGATGTCAGCATGACGGATATGACAGTTTGTGACACCGGTCTCCAGATGTGTAGAAAATCATTGTATAACCATGAGAAAGAAACCCTTAGGATGGAGATGATATTCAATACAATGTCAGAGATGAAGCTCTTCCTTCAGGACTATGCTGTGTATCACCATAGGCCGTACAACGTCACTCATTCGGACCAAGAGTTGAGGTACCACGTGATATGCAAAAACGGATGGGATCACTTAAGATTGACCATGGGTAATCCGAGTACATGATACATGGGTACACACTACTGGAAACTAGATATTTCCTATGTCCCATATATATTTTCTGTCGGTTGCACGAAAACTCACAGTAAAAATATAATCTACCCTGTCGGTTCTCCAAACTCACAGGGTAATACATATAACCCTGTCGGTTTAAGTGATACGCACAGGAAAATTAGCTCACAGGATAATTACCTACAATTCCCTGTGAGTTACGGAATTTCTCTATCACATATGTACACAGGGTAATTTAGGATAAAAACGAGCCAACTTTCCCGCCTATATTTTTGCTTCACGGGCTTCTTCACGCTTTCGCTGGCCCGGCTTTGCGCCTGTGGACTCTATGGATCCAAAAGGCAAAGAATGAAAAAAAAACGTCAGACCTTATCCATCCCCTAGCGCCCTCAGCTCCAGTCGCATCCGCATCTCCACCCGTCGCCCAGCTCCCGTTCTGTCGCGCCTCCGCCTCTCCACCCGGCCAGCTCTCGGCCGTCGCCGCCTCCACCTCTCCAGCCGCCCAGCTCCCGGCCGTCGCAGCGTCCGCCTCTCCACCCGCCCCGGCTAGTGGCCCACCCGCCTCCACTCTCCAAGCTCGGTCGGTGGTCCTCCCGCCTCCAGCCAGGAGGCGGCGGCCCGTCCGCCAGGTGGGTGGTGGCCCTTCCGCCTCCGGCTGCTAGCGTCCCATCCTCAGCCGGCCGACCGTCCGCAGCTAGTCGTCGTCTCGCTTCGCCTCAGCTCCGCCTAGATCGACGCCCGTTCGCCCCGAGCCAGCCGCCCACCTCCTCGCAGCGAGTCTCCACCACGCCGACGCCCACATCGACAATATCGCTTGCCTGATCCAAGCCTCCGTACAGGCGCATCTAAGGTTTGCCTTGGACCCTTTGCACCGGTCGCAACATCCCGTAGTCTTTCTTCCGTCTAATGTCATGTGAATCTATAAGTAATTGCATGGCGTGAGCCCTTCCTGAACCCTTTCCCTTTTTATGTGGAATGTGATGGATTGTGTGGGTGTCATCGTAGGTAGCATCTTGATCCTTTGGATCCGTCACCTTCCGCAAGAATCTACTTTGCATTTGGTTTGATTGGAGAGATCTATTATCTTCACCACATTTTGCTATGCCACACATCGAAATTGAGAAGCACCATTGAGGATCACTTGTAGACTTAAATTTCATTGATGTTCCTTTCATAATTGCTATTGCTAATTTTATTGATAAGCGATGTTTCTTTCACTATTTCTCTGACCTCAATGACAATAGAAGCACCCACAGTCATCTTCAGTTGTCCTTTTGCTTCAAGGTACAACTATTTCTTTTCGCTCTATTTAGTAATCTGCTCTCCAACTAATAGAGATGAATGGTTGTTATGTTATGTTTGCCATTCTGTTTTGCTTTGCTGTTATGTGGTTGTATCGGTTCAGATTTGTTAACTTTGCTAGGCAAATGTCTTGTGTTCGAGAATGATAGTATCTCTTTGAAGTTGTACAATGCAAGCTTTTTTTTGAAACAATGTGACATAGACAACATACATGGTATGAATTAGTAATTAACACTTTCATATTTGACAACATACATACATCTAAATAGCTGTTATTAGAATTGGTGCTTCACTGTTGTCTTGATTAAGATAAGTGTTACTTTTTTTTTTATCAATAACATGATAAGTTGTTCATCAGTATTGCCTAGATATGTTGTATGCCTATATGCATGGTCTAAATTAACAATTAAAATTTTATATTTGCAATACAGAGATAGTTCAAATGTCACGCTCGTGGATGTATAATGGTTGGCAACATGGTAAACTTCCCTCTAATGAATGGGTTGATGAAACAACTGAATTCTTGAATCATGCATTCTCTTTATCGGATGTGGTTGAAAATGATACCATCAAGTGTCATTATGCCATGTGCCGGAACTACTTTAGGCAGAAAAGGAATACTATAAAGCTTCGTTTGTTTAAATTTGGTTTTAGAGAAGGCTATGAAACATGGACAAAACATGGTGAGAGTCTTGTTAGTCATGATGAACATAGCACTGTAGGTACTGAGGAGGGTTGCAATGAAGTTGACCGTATGGATGATATGCTATTTGATCTGGTTGGCGGACATCCACCAGCTATAGATGATACGCCAACATCCTCTACCCAAGCCTTTTATAGAATGGTTGCTAATGCTGATGAATTGGTGCATGATAAAACTACCCACTCGTCACTTTCTGTTGTAGCTCGCTTGCTTGTTGTGAAGTCAATGTACAATATGTCAATTGACCATTGATGATTTCTTAGAAATAATCCATGAACTCCTGCCTCCGGACTCTAAGTTGCCAAAGAACTTCTATGAGTCAAAAAAAATGCTAGATGGCCTAGGTATGCCATATGTTAAAATTGATGTGTGCTATAACAATTGCATGCTTTTCTATGGAGATAACAAGAACAAAGATAAATGTGACTTTTGTAATGCCAATCGATATGAAGAAGGCCGGAACAAAGTTGCACACAAAGTTTTGCGTTATCTTCCAATAACGGATAGACTACAAAGGTTGTATGCACATGAAGAAACAGCCAAGCTAATGCGATCGCACAATCGCTCCACGTCTGGTAAAATAGTCCACCCTTGTGATGGAGAAGCATGGCAGCAATTTGATGTGGACTTTCCAGATTTTGGAAGGGAGCCTAGAAATGTGCGACTTGTTGTTTGCACTGATGGCTTCACACCATTCAGCTTGAATGCTGCTGCATACTCATGTTGGCCGGTGTTCATTGCTCCACTAAATCTACCCCAAACATACTCCTAAGATTAGAGTATATATTTCTTGCCCTTGTAGTCCCTGGCCCTGAGCATCCTGGAAGGAAATTGAATATTCTGATGCAGCCCTTGGTCGATGAACTAAAAAATTGTGGGTGGGGGTCCAAACAAAGGATGCTTCACTCAAGCACAGCTTTACAATGAGGGCAAGTTACCTTTGGTCAGTGCATGATTTTCGTGCTTATGGAGACTTTGCTGGATGGAGCACCAATGGCAAATTAGCATGTCCATGTGGATATGGTTGCCAAGGATTTCAACTCCGTCATGGACGTAAGGCTTGTTGGTTTGATTGTCATAGACGCTTCCTTCCTATAGATCATCCATTTAGAATGCAAGCTAATGCATTTCGTAGGAACACAACAGTGCTTGACATAGCTAGGCGCTTAACAGGGCAGGAAGTGGAAGACCATCTAGAGAAGTTTGTAGATGATACACCAAACTATGGAAAACTACACAATTGGACTTTTGTGAGCTGCTTTAGGCAACTTCCATACTTTTCTAAGTTAAAGCTCCCACACAACATTGACTTAATGCATAATGAGCGAAATGTAGGTGAAGCTATTTGGAACACTTGCTTTGACATAGCTGAGAAGACCAAAGATAATGTGAAAGCTAGACTAGATCAAGCTGATATATGTGTCCAGCCTTCACTGAATTTAGTGAGAAATAACAAGGGGAAGTGGAAAATGCCAAGGGCTCCATTCTGAATTGACAAAGATGACAAGATAACCATTCTTCAGTGGTTCCAAGATCTAAAATTTCCTGATGCATATGCAGCCAACATCAGGCGTGGTGTTAACCTGGTGCAAAAAAGGATTTTAGGCCTCAAAAGTCATGACTTCCACATCTTTGTTGAGCGCCTTCTCCCAGTTGCATTCCGAGGATTTCTTTCAGAGGATGTATGGCATTGTTTGGCTAAGCTTAGCTTTTTCTACAGGCAGTTGTGTGCTAAAGAGCTTAGTAAAGACATTGTTCATTCTCTAGAAGAGAATGTTCCTGTGCTGCTGTGCAAACTGGAGAAGATATTTCCTCCTGGTTTTTTCAACCCTATGCAACACTTAATCATACATTTACCTTATGAGGCACGATTAGGAGGGCCTGTCCAAGCCCGTTGGATGTACCCGTATGAGACATCGTCAAGATTATCAAATTTTGGTGTCATAGAAGACATCATCAAAATTGTTTGGGAAGGGAGCATGCCACTTGAGTTGGTTTTATTTTATTGCCGTTGGTTTGATCCAACACCCAATGGACTGCGGCGCACTAAGAACTTGGGTTTGGTAGAGATTAAGCACACATCAAGATTATCAAATTTTGACTCATTTGTCATGGCTGCTCAAGTTAGTCAAGTTTACTATCTACCTTATCCATGTAAAAATAGAGAAGATCTCATGGATTGGTCAGTAGTGTATAAAGTTGCTCCACATGGACACATACCTCCAATTAATAGCAATGCTGATTCTAGTCTTGGTGAAGGGCCAACTCAGGATGTTGAATTCTTTCAAGAGGACGGATTAGATGGCACCTTCGTTATTGACTTGGGAGCTACATTGGACTCTATAACATCATTGGTCTCAGATGAGATTATTGATCCTAAAGACTTGGAAGAACTAGAGAAAAATCTGGCTGAGATTGAGGAAGAAAATGAAGCTATAGATGAAGAGATAGAGTCTACAGATGAAGAGAATGAAGATTCAGATGAAGCTTACGATTGAATTTCAATGTTTATTGTAGTATTTTGTGTATTGTACTCTCTATTTTGTGAACTTTGTGTTCTCCATGCCTAGGATCTACTGTATTGAACCTTTATTAATGTATATGGTATTGCCTATGTACTGTGTACTTCGCTACATTCAAGTCATGGCTCCAAACTTGTGAAAATTATGTTGTACAGAATGTTATATTTGTATTTTAAATCTGCATGGTAAATCTCACTTACAATTTTCCATTGCAGATGGTGAGTAGTATTCGTCACAGCCATAACAGTCGTGCAAAAGGGAGTGCTTCTCATGTTTCAAACTCAAGTGATGGTGCCTCTCAAAGATCAAGGTCTGATCCTTCTTCCCAAAGCCTTAGTGCTACTGAACCTATCCGTTCTATACAGTCAGCTAAGCAAAGGGGGAGAAAGCAGGGGTGTCTAACAAAGTTAAAAATGTCGGTGCGTGGTCGCAAGGTTGCCCTTGAACCACTTGGTGATACGTGAGTACATAATCATCTCTACATTTTGTCTCTCAACTTTTCAACCCTTTTACTAACCATTGTTTACATGTCTTTCATCTTGTACTGGTGAAAAGGCAATTTACTTATGTTGGTTATCGTGGTTATAAGTACTCTACTCAAGTTGGGGTTATTATTAAGAGAGAATACCCAGGCCTGGTAGATGACAAGGATCAAAATGGTGTAGTTCTTAACACCCGCCTTGACCTTTGGAGTGGGGTGATTATTTCCTAACACCAAAGGATAGAACGGAGATGATCTTTGGAGATCGTGTACTTTCTGAATTTTGGGTAAGTAACATGGATTTTGTATAAGTTGACACACATGTACCATAACTACTATGGTTACTATATGTGTAATTATTTGTGGTCATTCCTTGCATGATGAAATGACTTTCTTCGCTTTTGCATGTAGCGTTTGTTTCAAGTCAAAAGGGAGGATCAGCAAGAAGCAGACCGTGTTTTGGAAAATTATGTTAGGAAAAAAGTCAAGGACATTTTGTACCAAGCTCGTGTGGATGCTGTCAAGGTGTACTACAAGGACGTACTGAAGTAGAACCTAGATGACAAGTTGGCACGACCGATAGAGCTTACATATGAACAATACCTGAATGGCAGAGTGAAGTGGTGCAAGCATACTGCATGGCCTTCTCTTTGTCGTTATTGGTGCTCAGAAGAGTTCCTCACAAAACGAAAGAGGGGGCAGGAATCTCGGTTATCTTCTGATGATATTGCTCAAAATCGTGGTGGATCTAGACCATTTGGGGAGACAAGACAACTTTTGGTTGGCACACTTCTTCTCTTTATATAAATTACATACAGAACTCTCTTGAGAATGGTATGCATACTTATTCCTTATTGCAAGGTGAGAAATTTGGCCCTAGGAGTGCAACTGATATGAACACTTTCAAGGTGATGAAGTGTGGCATGAAAAATGTGGATGACACTGGCAGACCTGGTGCAATCAGCAGCCGCAAAGCACAAAAGATTGTGGTATGTATCTAACAAGCTGCTGCTTGTAGGTTCTGACATAATACTTCATGTTCAATCTTGTTTGGTTATAGACATTAGAGTGGTCTATCTAGTAGAAAATGCAGCCATTGCAAATGGTGCTGTCAAATGGCCCATTATATTGCTCACTTGACCAACCCTCCCAAGAAGATTCTGTTAGCATGTCAAACTCAAGCTTAATTTCACCGTTGAATAAAAATTGAGCACAAGAACCCCCTATATCTTGAGGTGCATGCAATAGCAGGTCAAACAGACACCGGTGACTTGACTCTATGATTTTTCTATCAGCATGCATAGTCAAATTCAGGCTTCATTTCACTAGTCAGGATCAATATGGAGGATAACGATGGGGTTACAATTCCATGTAGCTTTATATATTATCAATTATGTAAATAAATTTCAGGAGTCCAGAGTGTAGTAAACCATAAGACCTTCAGGCAGAGATTCTAGCAAGTAAATTGTATGTTATACTATGTAAGGCTACAAAATGGAAACACAGGACAGTTGTAGGAAGGCAAAAACACTAGACATTACAATGCATAATGGACAACTTTGTTGGCAAGATTGAATCTGATTGCCATAAGAAACTTGGAAGCAAAGAATGAAGAGCCATTCAAGATTAACATACTATGAGCTTGTTCAATTAATTTAGGTAAATCCTAGTTTTCTTATTTTGCACAGAACCAGCAACCCCTAAAAGCTAAGGTTGTTATTGTCAATAACTCACAAAGGCTATTCAAATTTAGAAGCCTTGTAAGCCAGCTAAATATTTTGCTTCTGCTGAAGCAGATATAGTTATACTTAAGATCAAAAAAGGAGAAATAAATCAAAAATATTATTAGTAGGTCGACCAGTAGACCTTATTTTGGTGATATAGTTATACTTGATAATGTATTTTCCTTTCTAGGATGAGTATACAGCAAAGTCCTAGGCTGCTCATCTAGAAGGGCTGGAGCAACATGAGTTGGATGGACAAATTCTGTATGATCTATCTGGTGCCTTGCGTTATGGTCGTGTAGCCATTGCAAATGGTGCTGTCAAATTGGCTTCTGTGTGGGCTGCTGCCAAGAAAAAAAATCCTGCATCTTCAAATGTAGCATCTTATCGACGCATGGCCAAAGATAATCGGAATTTATGTCATGCAAATAGGTGTTTACATGAGCGCCTTAACCAGATGGGGGAACTTAATAATGACCTAATACTGGTATGGATGTGAATTCGTATGTCTATTTATTGATTAAAGAAAGCACGCTCCTAGTAGTTTATTTTTGAACTACTATACTTGTTTGGATGTAGGATCTTTATCGCAAATTGGATCAGGAGGTTCCAGAAAATCATAAAAGGCGCCTTGCAGCTCTACAAGCAAATGTAAGTACATTAACTTGATACTTGTACCTATGAAATCGGTATTAATTATGACAAAAAAAACCAGCTAATCTAAACCATTTTAAGTAGACAACTGATATGTTTTGATGTCAGAATGACAACATGCAGTGCAGCAGTGAGGGAGTGGCCTCATGTTGATGGTTACTGTAGTTTCCAACTTTCCATCTTAGTTTTAACCTCATGGTAAGCTGTGATGGGGCAGGGGTAGGGTGGTGCAGGTGGGAAGGAGGGAGACAACCTGCCTGCAGCCTCCCTTGGCCCTTGAAGCTTCCTGTCCCTTGGGTGGCTGGTCACCAGAACACAGCTTCCGCTATATAAAGACTAGGAAAACCCTGTTTCCTGAACCCAGGTTATACATAGTTTATATGAGTACAAATGACTAATATGCCCCTTGATCATTTGAGTATGCTGGCATGCACATCCATCATAAAAGGGCAGGGGTCTTAGTGTCCAGTGCCCACGCTAAAATATAGGGGTCCCTGATCCTTATTGTTGACTTGTTTGGTTGTCTTGGATGTGCTTTGCTAGGCTGCTAGACACAGTGCTACTTGGCCAAGCAATCTCAGAGACACGCTGAGATAGGATCACCTCTGTTTTCTTTTATCATTATTAGAATCATATATGTTGTGTTCCTTATTGTGTGTGTGATTATTTACAGCAATATCACTTCTAGGCTAGATTGCCATTAATTAGTTCAGCTCAGCATGTCTATGTCTTGAGATATACCTGAGTCTCCTGGCAGACATTTTGGTGGGGCTGTTACTAATCCAAACAAAATGAGCACACAGGTTCCAGGAAGTGCTTTGCTATTCCAGATAAAAATGCATCTGGCAACTTCAAACAACTCTTTGTATGTACATAGGGAGTCTTAGATTATCCAAGTATTAGGTTGGTTTTCGTTCTGAAAACTAGTAACATATATCTGCTTCAAAGGTTTGTACATGTTGTTTTTTGGAACTACTTGGTACTTGTTAGCACACCAAAAGTACAGTATCACACGAGATATACCACTTGCCATGCCAGCATGTATATTCCTGGATGTCACCGTACAAGTAGTCTCCGGTTCTTTTCTCATGTAATGGGACCTGCAGTCTCGCCAGATAATATATAACCTACGAAAAATATTGTGGAAGTATATACCAAAATGAAAGAGTCTGTTACGTACAGCTGGAATTGCGTATGCAGAAATTTGACTCTTGTTCCTGAACCCCAAAAGTAAATGCCTCGGTTAGGTGGGGTACTATTCTCTGATCGCGGCACTTCGTAGTTAGCTAGTTCTATTATTAACCGGGACTGGACGGGAACATCGTCTAACATCGTTCTAGAAGATTATATTTGGAACCATGTTTAAGCAGACAACTGATATGTTTTGACGTCAGAATGACAACACATAGTGCAGCAGTGAGGGAGTGGCCTCATGTTGATGGTTACCGTGGTTTCCAACTTTCCATCTTAGTTTTTACCTCATGGTAAGCTGTACTTCTAGCTGTACTGAAACTATGCTTCATGTATGGTGCTGGTGTAAAAGGAAATCATGTATAAGACAATTAATTAATGTTTATCAGTCCTAAAATCCAATTGATATTTATATGGTATTATCATTTTGCAGCTGCCCACTAGTTCATCCCATGTTGGTGAGGACTTTGGATGGTGAGGACATGGATGGAGAGGATGAAGAGGACATGGATGGCAGCTACATGGAAGGAGAGGACACGGAGGAGGACATGAATGAAGAGGATGAAGGGGACGAAGAGGACGAAGAGGACAGGGATGAAGAGGACATTGACGACAACAATGGGGGCAGCAATGCTAGATCATACATCGATGACTTCTGTGATTTGGGATATATATGGTAAGGTTGCTATTGGCAGAAATAGCACATGGGTTGTCAAAGTAACTTTTGTCTATTGAACAACATAAGCCGGTGGCTTGTCTTTTGAACATGTATGGCCGTGGATGATTAACTTAGCAGTAATTGAATGTTAGATGGACTCGGCTAAAACTAGGATGTCGTGGTAGGTGACATGGTTGTACATGTATAAATTAGGAGCAGCAAATGCTGGTGGTAGTAGTAGAATGTTAGATATAATTTGTGAGGGTAG